AAACTGCCTCATGAACAACAAATTGAGTGGTATGACTAGTTTGATTAAAAGAAGAAATGTTTACCAAATGTGTTATCAGAATGAATATCATTGTCCACACCTGTTTGTGATTGCTCATTTCCCTGGAATTGCTGAGGTAATGACACTTGCTTTTGAAGTTCATCGGAAATTTGAACTTGGTTATCCTTGGTAACAACTGGAGTAGGAATGACTCTGATATGGTCGTCAAATAAAGAACCTATAATTGACTCACTGTTAACTTGGAGTCTGCGATTGCCAGGATTTAATGGTTCTCTGAGAACATTTCTGTTGCTGGCTCTAGACAGAAGAACAATTGGATTCGTGGTTGAAGTGCCAGCATCATTGACTTGGCTGCTAGAATTTTGATGTAAAGACAGGACAGTTGCTTTGAGTTCTGCTAGCATTCTCTGTACATGCTCTTCATGGGACTTCTTCCAAATGGCATCATGTTTTGCAACTATTTCAGAGACTATCTTCATAACCTGTTAGTTTGAGCAAACAGAACAGATATATGTGTATTAGTTTCTGGTATGAAAGTAAAGTGAGAACAGTAATATCTATTAAGAAAAGAAGAAAAAGCAGGCCAACATACTTCTGGGTTGTTGTTCGAAGTAGATGCAACATTCTCTCTGTCATTTTGGTTTGGAATGTCATTTTCAACATTATGAAAAGACTCTGGCGCTTTGGACCTCTTCTCCTCAGCCAATACAATTGCGCGAGCACTGTAAGGTGTCATAGAGATGTCTTTCAACTGCACAAAAAATTTGCAATTGAAAAGGATTATAAATGACAAGATTTCCTTCTTCTAGATAGGTTGTAGAAGAAAAAAATTGCTAACTTGAAAAATGAACAACAACAAATTTATACAAGAAGCTTACTGGTAAGAAACCCAATGCAAAACTCTTCTTCGAAGCTCTGTTCAGATCCACTATAGCTAGATAGTCAAAGTCTTCATTCTGAACATGTGCAATTCTAGGGACTCCATAATTGATGTTTCGTTGTCTAGAAGCTTTTGTGAAGTCTACAAAGTCCAGATACACAATCTAGGAAGGTTGTGAATCATAAGAGAAGATATAAGAGGTAATCAGTGACTATAAAAAAAGATTGCATAACTAAAGTCTATGTAAAAAATTGAAAATGACAGAGAAAAGAAAACTTACAGTAGCCAAAGGTAAACATCCACCAACATAGATTGAATCATTCAATGGGACTTCAGTTCTATTGAAGAGTTTAGTGCTGAAGTTATCAATTTCATTGTTCAAGTGATCAATGCACAACTGAGCCAAATCAAATGTCTTCAGCTTGGTAATGTCATCCAGCCCAAAAAGAAGTTTCCAGTTTGCATAGTTCCGAGTGGTTGGACATAAAACACATGCTATGAACAGAAACATGAAGCTCCGTATGAAGCCTTCCTCAGTCTCATCATTTTTCATCTTGGTGATTATGTTATCGAATGAAATGTTCTTCTCCCCATCACCAAGATACTCAGACCTAAGTTCCAATACTCTAGCCACGATAACTTGATCTGTGCTGTCAATAGGAAAAGGCACGGAACCAGAACGAATACCAAAAACTTGAATTACCATTTCCCTTCTCAGATGAATTATCTTTTGACCCTTCCTGAAAACTCCTGTTCCATTACAATTTAAGTGGTTCGCAACCCATTGTAGTACTGGAATTGGAATCATTAAATGAGGGTGAATGTTCAGGAGATGATCAAGCTCATATTTGGTAACATATGACTTCTGGATGTCAGTTAAATCAGCAACTGCCTTACGCCACCTAATGGTAGAGAATCTATGTTTGATACTACCCGGAGGGTATTTGTAAAGTTTAGGCATTTTGACAGTTGAGTGAGAGCTGTATAAAAATAATAAAAAGTAAGGTGCTGAAATTTCAGGTATAAAAAAACATTTCATGTAAATGTAAACTGCTGAAACAAAAATTAATTCTGAAACAGAAGAGAAGTACATAGTATCACTCATAGTTACATTATACACAGAAAAAACAGAACATGCCAACTGATTGCCAAGAAAGCAGAAGTGATGAAGGACTAATTCCAATGCAAGAAGGATATGTAGCCCTAACACCCAATTTTTCTAAAATTTATTTTCTAAATTTTATTTTCTTCCTCTTCTGTTTCCTTGTTTTTCTAAATTTTCTAAACAATTTACATTATTTTATTTTATGAATTTTTCTAGAACACATTTTCAAATTGGTGAACATTTTTTGATCCTCAATTTCAGAAAATGTTCATCCATGTCAAAAAGTTCAAAAAAAATTTGATGTTATATAATTTAGATGTGATGTAGTACAAGAACAATTATTTGAGTGAACACACAATGTTCAAACAATTTTACACATTACAGAAACTAACAAGTGTCCTATCATCATCAACATAAACACACACAAAAAAATTCCAAGGGCAACCTCCATTATGCTGCATTCATAACCTGATTCCAAATTCTGAATCACATCCAGGAAAACAAAAGTGGCCACAAGAAATGAGCAAGAACTTGAATGCAGCAAGTTGCAGTCTGATAGGATCTAGAATTAACAAAATAAACAAAGCTAGATTCCCAAACCAGGTGATAGCTCAAAGTAGAGGGTTCCCTGAAGCGGGTTTGTGTTCTGCTCACCCCATTCAACTATTTTGACCGGGTTTTTTGAACCTTCTAGCAAGTTGCAGAGGACACGAACCAGCTAGACAAGAACACAGAAAAGGGAACTGGGGACATTACCTTGAAGATGACGAACTTGACGAAGATGGATGGAACCCTAGACGACCCGATCTTGACGGAACCCTAGACGACGCGGACGCCGACGAGGAAGCAGTGACCACCTGCAAAAAAAGCATCCATCACGACGCCGTCCGCCAGATCTAATCAGCGATGCCTCAGACGAGCCGACGGGAAAGAGGTCCGTCGGCTGCTTACCAGGGCGGCGGCCTCTTACCGGAGCGGGATCCCCGCAGGAAAAAGCAGACGAAGAGGGAGGAAGTGGGATGCGGGACGAGGGAGGAAGAGCACGGCGTCTCGGCGGATCCGGGACGAGTGAGGAAGAAGACGGCAGATGCGGGACGAGGAAGAGGAACAGGGAAACAGACACGAGGAAGAGGAACGAGGAAACATCGATAAAAAGGCCGGCCCAAATCAGCAAGGGGGGTGTGCGGCGCGTCGACAGTTTGACGCAAAATGCGTCAAATAGGATATTCCCCCAATTAACTCAGGTGGATGAACGTGTGCATCGATCAATGCCATCGGGCTAAATAGTTTTGGGCTTGGGCCATTACGCTCCTATATATTCGGCCCTTTGCCAATGGCATACACAAATTAACTGAACCATCCATAATAATAAATTAATAATCCTAGCCCCATTGCCAGCCTCAAAAAAAATAAAAAATAAATCCTAGCCGCATTGTCTCCGCCCTCCCGAATCCCCCGCGCTTCTCCGCCTCCGCCGCCGGCGCATTCTCCTCTCGGGGATATCCCCGCCGTCTCGCCAACCAGACTAACAGAGGCCCCAGAGACCTCGCCTCCATCATCCAGTTTGGCATCGAAGCCAGCTTCCTGGGATCAATTGGCAGAGGGCAAGCCAGTAAGACACACCTTGGTTCCTTCTCTTCCATATTCTTGATTTCAGGTACATTGTGCTGCTTGATTTACGCAACCAAAGATTAGGGTGGGAACTGGGATCCATCTGTACACCTGTCTCCCTGCTTTCATAAAACAGTTGGTTTACCAAATAGCGCAGTGGACCGTAACTCTCCAGGAGGATATTCAGTATTCACATAGCAGATCCTCAGAGTTAGACTTACTAGAAGCTTTCACTTTGTGGTGTCGATGATATTAAGAGCAACCGGAAGTTTATTGGTAAAAAAAACATTCTCTCCATCTTTCTCTAACAGCACCACAAGCAGATAAGCTTTTGCTAGACACATATCAAATTTTTTTTGGGGGAAATAGCTATCGTTTTCTTGTAGGCTAGCATTCAGTGATGAGATCCGTGACATCTTTCTACGCCGCTGATTTACTCTGGTTATGGAGTTACAGAGCCCGCAGGCAGCAGTATAGGAATGACCTGCTGGTCTGGGTACATGATCTTGTTGGCTAATCTGTTGTTTGTAATAAGCTGTTGTAATCTCCTCGCTCCAAATCTTTTTCTGCTACCTTATCCTCTTCCCTCTCTCTTTTTAGGGTGCTTGTGGCCCTGCACCTTGGCGCAATTCACAAGTCTCATGTAATTGACTTCGGTCCCCAGGCTATGCCTGTTTTGAAATATATAAGGTAGAACTCATTCTACATTTATTTTCAAAAAAAATCCGTAACATCTTTCCATTAATTAGCTGGTGATATAACTAGTGAAATGATGGTGCAAAGTACAAACGCACACCATCTCACTTCTATATAGGCTACAATCATCACTGGCCCAGACTGGATCAAGGTTTTGATTACCGAATGGGGCATTTCTACCGAGGGGGGCCGGTAAACGTGGTTACCACGAAATTTTGAGAAAAATTTTGAACGAAATTCGAATGCAATTTATAATTGAATTTGAATTCCAATTCTTTCAAAATAGATGTAGATAACATTTGAACTTATATTTGTCATAAAAGAGCTACTAGCTCATTGGAACGTTGTCTGCGCATGTTGTGAGGTGCTGCCACACTTTACTATACATTGAGCGTTTGAATTCAAAAAATTCAAAAACATTGATTTGTGTGCTACTCCTACTATTTAAGTTAAGTACCATATGCATTATATGTGTGCTACTATTTAGTCTCTGAAAACATGTAAAAAGATTTCTCGATGCAGTAGTGCTAAGTGCTAACTAAAAGATTGCTTGTAGAGGCTATTCCGGATCATTGCTGTGCGTCTAGAATAGCAGTTTCGATGTACTTTATACACCGATTTTCTTCACTAACATATTAATACACCACTATAATGCAACAAGAAAACGAAACTATTGACCACCTTAAGCTACGAGGACAAGGAGCGTAGTTCGTCCAGCTTCACACTTCTGCTTTGCGTAGTTTGCAAGTTCTGTGTGGAGATCTTCAGTTCTTCGCCGCTAGAACCCGTGAGCAAAATTTGCTTGAGTTCAGGTAAATGCTTCAGGCCTAAGAGTGACGACCCACTGCAGCAGTCCACCTTCAGCTGCTCAAGTTTTTTCATTGTTTTCTCTCCAAAAGTAACATGCGAGCTGGAGCTGCAAGCAATCTCGAAGATCTTTATTTTCTCGAAAGAATCCACCTCTAGGTTATTAAAAATTATGGACACATCAAGCTGATTATCCTGAAGATGATCGACACGAAGACGTAGAATGCATAGTCCTGATAGCTCGCTTAGGAACTTGATGACGCCACTAGTGTGTTCCCTTCTTCCATGCTGTGCCACACCTTCCGGTTGCACGGAGACAAGATCTTCTGTTAATTTGGCTATTTCCAAAACCATCTTTGTGAGCTTGGTGAGCTTTGCGCTCCAGTCAGGCAACCGGTCTCCAAGCCCATAAAGTTTAAGACTCCGCAGGCTCTCCAAAGGCAGCAATATATCATTCAAACAATCTTGGTTGTTCTCTTCGAGTCGCACTGACAGTGATTCCAGATGGACAAGATCTTCGGTTGCATGTAAAAACTTGCTGCTGTTATTCTTGTTGATGCCAGACACTCCGAGCTTGCGCAAGTGGGTGAGCATCTTGAGATCTTCTAGGACGACCTTTGTCCTTGAAGCACTCACATTGATAACACCAAGCGTGTGCAATGCCGTCAGTTTCCCGATCCCTGGAGGCACCACAACACCAACCATCTGACGGCCACCACAGAACTTGGACAGCTGGGGCACTAAATGATGTGCTGCCCGCGCTATCTTTGCTGGGGCGGTGGTTCCCGCACGGATGTACTGCAAATTCTGCAGCTTGGTGATGTTCACTGGCAAGGTGACTACGGAGGTGTGTCGAACATCAAGAGTCTGGAGCTGCCTCAAACCTCCTATTGAACTCGGCAGATGGTTGATTTCATGGCATCCTCGCAGTGAGAGGAATTTGAGGCGGCACATCAACTTAACCATCTTATTAAGATCACCATACTCTACATTGGATGCACCCTCTAGATCAAGCACCCGGAGCAGCTTCATATCTTCAGAGACGAAGAATGATTTCCATTTCCCAAACACTGTCAGTGACCGGAGCCGAGAAAAGTCAATGCTCTCGAACACAATTCTATCTCTGATCCAGCTTTCTGATATCACAAGGTGACGTCCTGTGCGTTGGGTGGTTACAGCACAACTTCCACTAAGTTCAAACACAAGGTTCTCTTCCATTTGGCGTGAGACAATGTACTCACCAAAGAAGCCATTGACTTGGCACAAGACCATCCTTGTGTCACCCAAACCCAACGCAGATGGCTGCTGAATTATACTCAGGTTAAGGAGCTCAGAGAACTGTTTCTCCCCAGTCATCTCCGCGGATTCATCATGGCTGTCCCTAGAGTAACCCTCAGCAATCCATCGCCTTATCAGTCGCCTCCGCCGAATGAGGTGGTTTCGAGGTAAAATTGGTAGATACAAGATACATGGCTTGAGATAATCTGGGCATTTGCGGAAGTACATATTCATCCAACCAAATAGACCCCTTAGACTAGCAAACTCTCTGTTGTTCTCGAGCTCTGACATAATCTTATTATTTGTTGAGAGTGCATCTTTCCATCGATCTGTATTTTTCAAGAATGAGCCAGCCATCTCAACTATTACTTTGGGAAGTCCACCACATATTGAAGTAAGTTCTTCTAGCACTGGCCCTTCATCCTTGTTGGATACCTGTTATACAAAACAATAATTATTTCCACATCAGTCAGAGTGCCCAAATCAAATTACAGTGCACATTCATGTTGTCTGCTAGATGTAATGCACAATATATTGAATGCTATAATTCCATCAATGAGAAAGGCAAAACGAGAAAATTTTCATCATATGTTTAGCTAGCACAAGCATCTTACTGTAACCAAACTAGAGACAAATACTAGACAACTAATCAACAAGACAATTTGGAGACATTGAGTATAGCAGGTATTGCATAGCTACCCTGATACGAAATTACGAATACATGGTGGCAGATCTGAAGACCGGTGAAAAAAATAAAATGGGAATCATTGAAACGGAAGATATGTAGCATTTCACCATCTATTGTATTGATAATAATTGTATACAGGAAACAATAGGAAATTCCCTACTATATAATAAATATGTGCAAAAAGTTCAAACTAGTCTAACTAAAAGATATGACAGGGTTTGTAATCATACAAAAAGGTTTTGTAAACTTTTTCCTTGAAATCTAATAACATATGGGAAAACGAGATAGAGGAATAGTGTTGCGAATCTTAGCAAATGTGATGCTTTCTGGAAACCTTCACTGCCTGGTTTATATTCTATGTTTGTTTCTCAAGTGCAGATAGAAAATTGATATATATATTGTGACATCCTATTATATCTAAGATGTGGTGGGGTAGTTATTATCAGAGCAGCATCCAAGCCACATCAGTAACACAGTGTAATGCATTCAGCGAGTAATTAACATTAATTACAACAGAGCCTACGATTTCTAATATGCTAGATTCAAAGTAGATTTAAAGGAGTGAGAAATAATCTGGTAATGCAGGTTACAAAATCAGCTAAAGTAGAATATTCCCATTTTCGAGTTTAAAAAAAGGGATGCAGTGAATTCCACATTCAAATACTACAAAATAAACAAATAAGAGATGAAAAGGTAGTACCACGTCTATTGAAGTCAACAGCATGTGAAGGAAGAACAAAAAATGTATTGCTAAATTAATAATTGCACAGGTGTAATGAAACAAATTCATGCACAAGGAGTCAAGTTAATTTGTATGAACATTCGTCCAAGGAACAAAAGGAAGAAAAATAAATAGTAGGAAGGTTCATATAAAAAATTCACCTTCTTGAAGAGTTCAATGGCGGTGTCAGCTTCCAGACCTTTGACATTAAACACGAGTTTTCCCTTATCTCCTCGGCAATGAGTGGCAATTTCTTGTTCAGTTGTAACAGCGATCATAACATTCTGATGATGGGATCCATCTACCAACTCAGTTTTTATGAGATCCCATTCTTTCATGGACTGCAGTCCATCTATAACAACCAGGCATCTATGCTTTTCCAGAATCTCACGACACTCTACAATGGGATTTCTACTTCCCATCATACACAAGTTTGCAGCTTCACTGGCTTGAATATATGCAGAACCAAGACTCGCAAGTAGAACTCGAGAGAAGTCCCATAAATTGAAAGGATGTGATACATCCACCCAACCAAACTTCTTAAATAGATTTCCCTTGAGAATTCTCTCGCAGAACATGTTTCTGACGAGAGCTGATTTTCCAACCCCAGCTATTCCCCACACAGACATAACATGGTAGGTTTTGCGCCGTGCCAAAATTACCTTCAGATCAAGATTATTCGTTTCTGACTTGCGTCCAACAAGGGGATGCTCATCCATCCACTTCTTGGCTGCATCTTTTTTACAGGTACTGCCCATTGATGCCCCATTGTTGTTGGTGAGTGCATGATCGGTTTCCTTGCCTTTATCTGCTTCATATTGAGATCCCTGAAAATAAGTAATTATGTCATTTTATAAGAAACCTAGGATTTCATTAAATCTAAAATAATTCTATTGTTATATAAATGGCAATATTATCAATATCCTGATACCAAGTACACCGACCGGCCTTTCAAATTACGCAATGAGGAAAATAGTCCATATACACATGTAGAAACAAAAATAGATAGCAAACAGAGATGAAAAAAATAATGTTCTTGTATATTGTGATGCCAACACGCCTTCCACCTCACCAATGCCGCCCAATCCTGTCTCTCACCAATGCCGCCACTCTAACTCCTCAGTCTTCCGCTAGCCTAGCTAGGTCTCTATAGTCTACGTAACCCTAGCTTTGCTAGAGTGATACCATGCCCCGATGCCCCCGCATCCAGTCGTCCTCCGCCCTGCCCTGTTTCAAGTCAAACTGCAACAAGTCTAGTGCGAGGCTCTGAAGTACGGCCCAGATCAAGCTACATTATGCGAGGGAGGCCACCGATCATTTTTTTCATTGATTTTGAGATAGCTCACCACTCATGTCAAGTGCTGAGGCCACCGATCGTTGGAGGTCGAATCCAGCTTCGGCCTTCACTGTCAGCCCCACGCCCCCACCGCCTCCTTGTCGTCCACCTTTGATCCCTCCTTAGAATCGAGCTAGCTATATAAATGTCACTAAACCAGCCTATGTGCTCTATTTAGAAGTAGATATACAAACTACACTAAATCCTAGCTATCTCCACTCACCTCTACAGTCCACACCCTGCAGCTACTGACAAACACGCTGCTCCTAAAGTAAAATCGCTGAAGTGTTAGACCGGACGCAAAAAGATTATTCTGTTGCTAGACTGCCATCCAAGTAAGTAGATCAATAAATATTTATCTAGGAGGCTGTGAAATAACAATGATTGCCCTCTTGCAACAAATCCTAGTTATAGGGACACAAGGAAGTACTCCCTCCGTCCGAAAATACTTGTCATTAAAATGGATAAAAGGGAATGTATCTAGACGTATTTTAGTTCTAGATATATCTTTTTTTATCCATTTTGATGACAAGTATTTTCGGACGGAGGGAGTAGTAACTAACTATACTGAGAATTTAATTAAGTGATGAGATGAGGTTCTGTGGGTAGGCTTAATTAATTACCTTTGTAAAGAAGGCGTAAACAGAGTGCTCTGCTGATAGCTGGTTGAGACGCTGCACTTGGTATGGATGTCCCACTGACAAACTTGCTACCTCGAATTGCTGCGTGGACAAGATTATGCAGCTGCCATTCTTCTTGTTTGGAAAAAAACTCCTGATAGCATCCCACTCTGCCATGGTGGAGAGGTCCTCCAACACAACGAGGTACCTATTTTCCGCGACAAGCTGCGCAAAATCCTTGAGGGGATCTCCTCCTCGTGTTGCCTCCATCTTCATCAGGGCCTGTACACCACCACCAACGGACGTCGTGGTGTAGAACTGAGCCGTCAAAGAACGGACGAACTCATGGGGATTGAAAGGATGCATCAGCTTCAGCCAGGCACGACAGGTGAAGTTTTTGCAGGTTTCTGTATCAACATAGACGTTCCAGGCGATGGTTGCCATCCCAAGATCCTCCCCACCTCCGGTGCCGGCGCCGGTGCCCCAGATTGAGATCACTCGGAGGTCATGGCCCTTACTGGTGGTGAGCAGCTTTGTGAGATCACTTTGGCGCCCTTTTTGAGTGGTTTTGAATGCCGCCTCGAAGAGGCTGTTGAATGCTGCCGCGCCGTCGGCGGCGTCACGGAGTGATGGCTTTTGATCTTGCTGCACCACGGTGACGGGCTTGGAGCCGGAGTCGCTGATGAGGCTGTAGCGCGTGTTCCTGCTGCTCACATCCTCCACCCTGGCCTTGAGGCGGTCCAGCTCGTCGACCGCCTCATCCAGCGGTAGCGGTCCCTGATCCACACAGGGCCTAAGGAGCCAGCTCGCCGGCTTGATCAGGCGGAGCCACCAGCTGTTCTTCTTGTCGAGGTGGACGACGAACTCGATGCAGTCCTCCACATCATAGGCGAGGTCGCGGATCTGCCGCACCCACGTCCTCACCACCGGATTCTCCAGGCGGTCACTGTCGGCGACGTTAAGGAAAGACTGCATCATCTGGAACTCGCCAGTGATGAACACCAGGTTGCGCTGCGCGCTCTGCCGCAGCTTGGCCTCCTCCTCGATGGCCGCCTGGGCCTTGGTCAGCGCTCCCTCCACCACCGACTTGGCCATGCCAACCACAAGGTCCGCCATGGCTCCCTCTCTCTCTCGCTTGCTAGATCCCTCTCCTACCTTAGTAGCCCAGCTTAGTGTTCAATTTGTGTTTTTCTTCTTGTCTAGCTGAGTAGCTTACTGTGTTCAAGTACTAGTCCCATTCCCATATACTCCCTCCGTCCCAAAATTCTTGTCTTAGATTTGTCAAAATACGGATGTATCAAGTCACGTTTTAGTACACTATTAGATACATCCGTATCTAGGCAAATCTAAGACAAGAATTTTGGAAGGGAGGGAGTACTTAACTTCTCATGCTGATACCCATTCTTGAAGGGGACTTGTTTTGTCTATGCTAGCTGTAAGATGATTACAGCTGGCGGAGTTCAAAAATTATTTGCAGTGTGTGATCATATAGGCATATACGGAGTATATAGTAATGTCTTTGTAGTAGTGGATCGATGAAATGATACCCCACTAACATGGCTCTATGCTGGCACTAATGTCCAATAATGCTGTGTATTCTGTGCCCCACCCACCACCCACTAGTTCAAGATAAAATACTCACATGGTGGTAGATTGAACAGAACCCTTCAAACAACATCGCAAGCCTGCTCATAAAATCATTTACCGTACGTGCCGACATCACAAATTTAATCAGATCACCTTTTAACATCCTATGATAGTTATCACTTATCACGTCACCTCTTACGCTCTAATGATGGTTCTCTGTCTGATATGTATGCTACATCTCCAATCTACTCTCCATTTTAATATATTCTGCGTATTTTTTATGCAGGATGACATGCCGGTTGCAGGACATAATGTACGTAGGTTTTGTTCTCCCTTCTTGCGGGTAATGTAACTTGATTGTATTGTTCGATTCTGCATTTTCTTGCCCAAGAAATATCATTTCCTGATTCAACAAGCAAAGTCTTTGCTGATCAACAACTAGCATAAATTAAGAATCATTCAACAGCTAATGACTTGTCATATGCTCAAGGAGGCAAAATTATTGGTACTTGTTGATTCAAGGGCATGAAGAGCCATAAAATAGCTAGTTTGGACATTGTTAAACAGCAAACTGACAATTGGACGAGACCTGTGAGACGACTTGAGGTCCCGAGATATTAATTTTCCCGAGCCATCATGTTCTGTTCAGCTGTAACTATAGAAAGTTGCGTCATGTTTGGGAAATAAATGGCCTGTGACATGTGAGCTTATACAGTTTTTGGGAATACAATTTAGAAATTGATCGTCCAAGGAGCCATTGTTTTAAATAACGGGCTATGCCATAATGCCAAGTAGTAGTGGTCCTCCAAATTAGCTATAGTGGCGCTATGGCCGGCTATTTCAGGCAACTGTACATGAATCTTTCCTCCAAATCGGCTATAGTGGCGCCTCCTTTCCC